GTGACAGAGCAAGATCATGTCCCAAAAAAAAAAAAAAAAAAAAAAAAGGACCCTGCTTTTCTACTATCCTAAAGTCTTTGCCCATCGTGTAATATTATTCTTCAATAGCCCCTGCTAAAATAATTGAAAAGCTTTCACTGAGTCCCAGCCTTTGAAAAGGAGGGAGATTCCCACGATGGTTCTTGGAGTCACCCTCGTTCTCCCTTCCAAGCACTTCAGCATGGAAAATCTGCTTCCCAAAGAAGGCATCTCACGGCCCAGCCCACTGCAGTGATGAATCTGGGAACAGAGGCGCCCAAGACCCAACTCCTGGGGCTGCGAATTCCTCAGCCATATGTCGCCCTTGCAAGGTGGGGGGTCCCTGTCACAGCCCTAGCAAATGCTCAGCCCCTGAGCCGGCAAGCCTCAGGAGGTGAGATCCATTCGGGCTAATTGCATCAGGAGATGCCGCCACCCAGAGGCCCCTTCTCATCCCCTTCCTGCCTGAGCTTCGTGGTGGCCTGCATAGAAATGCCATTCTGTCTCTGAGGTCCCGCCCTCAGATGGCAGCGCCTGTCTCGGGGAAGAAGAACAGATGTGTGTGCAGAATGCCAACTCCGGCCCGAGTACCCACGTCCCACTGCTCACGTCATGGAAACAATGTCAAGGTGGGAAGGCTTGGGAAAACCCAAAGGATGGGCACAGGAGCCCATTAACCACTGGTCAGGAATGGGATGGAAGCCTTCCACTCCCGCAGAAAGCAGCCGCGGTCCTGCCGGGCCCTGAGGTTGGCACCAGTGGCGTTCCCACCTGTGCTGCAAGCCACGCATTCAAATGATCATCATCATTACATTCTGCAGTTGTCCACCCTGTGTGGCGAGTACGTTGAGGTGGGACGGAACGTTTCACGGATTGGATTCCCGGGGGCTTATGTTCAAAAGTCCCGTCTGCCGCACAGCCCCGCTGGGTGATTCCATGGCTTCCTGATGTGGTCATGGCCAAATGCGGAGGTGGCGACCCGGTCACTACACATCAGTCATGCGGAAGTATCTGCACCCTCTCCCCCACACCCACCCCGACCTGCCCAGCTGGCTTCAGTACTGCAGACCATCCACCCCAGGGCGCAGCCCACCCTGCGGCAAACCGTGGGTTGCTTTGTAAATAACCATTGTCATCGTGAAAGGAAAATAAACACTTCATGACATTGTAAAGACACCACAAAACATACTCTCCACAGGTTAAGAAACAAAATGTCCAAGTTTATCCTCTGGAAATCAGAAGAGCATACACAGCATTTGTCACCTGTCATGAGCATTTCCTTCTTCTTCTTGCTAGGAATACCCACGTGTGTAAATGTACGTATTCAGCAAATGTATTTGCTTTCTTTCCTCTCATATTTCTTTATCATATAACATAAGACGGATTGGCTTCGTGTCAGTATTGCAGTATTGTTCATTTTACATCATAGTGTTAAGTTGTGTCAGGAGAGTGAACGTCAGTCAGGGACCTTATCTCCTCTTCTGGGGAAGACATCAGTGTGTTTTTTCGGTTGTATGCAGTAGAGCTGCATGGTGTTAGGTGGAATCACAACCTTATTGTCTTTGTTTGGAGATGGAGTGTGATGGTGCCAGGTTGATGAGGGGTGGGCTCGTGATGGTTAATTTCGTGTTTCAACTTGACTGGGCTAAGAGGTGCCCACGTAGCTGGGATTACATGATTTCTGGGTGTGTCTGTGAGGGTGTTTCTAGAAGAAATTGGCCTCAGAATCAGTAGACCAAGTAAAAAGAACACTCTTCCTCAATGTGGGTGGGCACCATTCGATGCACTGAGGGCCTGCAAAGAACAACAAGGCAGAGAAAGGGCGAGTTCATTCTCTCTCCCAGCCTGGGACGTTTCTCTTGTCCTACCCTCAGACGTCAGTGCTCCTGGTTTATGGGTCTTTGGAGCCCTGGACTTACTCCAGGGGCTTATGCTTGTAATCCCAGAACTTTGGGAGGCCAAGGCAGGTGGATCACAAGGTCAGGAGTTCAAGAGCAGCCTGGCCAATATGGTGAAACCCTGTCTCTACTAAAAGTACAAAAAAAAACTAGGCAGGCAGGGTGACAAGCTCCTGTAATTCCAGCTACTCTGAGGCTGAGGCAGGAGAATTGCTTGCACCCAGGAAGTGGAGGTTGTAGTGAGCCGAGATTGCACCACTGTTCTCCAGCCTGGGCAATAGAGGGAGACTCCGTCTAAAACAAAACAAGACCAAACAAAATGTGTCTGTTTTCTAGGTTTCCTTCCTCCCTCCCCTTGACTCTAGCTATGTTAAAATGAGTCACTTAGCAGAAGAGGAGGAAGATTCTGGTGCTGGGAGCATTGGGGCAAGTACTTTGGAAAACAGTTTGGTAAGATCGACTGTACTAGACCTAATGTATAGCTGCCCCGTGATGCGATCACTACACTTGTAGGTATGTTCCCGACAGAAATGCGTGTGTGTGCACGTGTGCACCAAAAGACGTATGCAAGAATGTTAGTGCACGTTCATCCATAACCATCGAGGCCTGGAAACAACCCAAAGCCTCGTCAGCGTGAGAACAGAGAAGCCAGTGGCAGCAGATTGGCATGATGGATGCTGCATGCAGTACCCCTGAACCCAGCAGAGGTGCCCAGGTGAGGGCCGGGGACTCTGGCGGAGAATCTTTGAGGGGATCTGAGAAGCTGAAACACGTTTCATGATATTGCTAAGATGTTATTAGCCTTTTCATTCTCCTCACATGAGCGTGTGGCGTTTTCCAGGGGCTGTGTGACCTGTGTCCACCCAGAAACCTGATAAGGAGGCAGCTGGGAGTGTCCCTTTCTCCTTTGTTAAGTGTGACATGACACCCCTCTACCCACTACACTTTTTGAAAAAAAGAATGCCACTTACAAAAAACATATGATTTAGTATTAACATGCAATGAGTTTATTCTTTCAAATGAACTCACAGATATTTTTTAAAATTCTCTTAGTTTTGTTTTATATTTAGCTAAGTAGTTTTAGGCCTAACGTGACAAAATATTTAAATAAAAGATGTTTAGAGTCTCCAATGCTACCTAAGAAAGCAAAAATGTATGGAGACCAAAATACTCTGAGAATTGCTGCTGTTCACAGCGAAAAAGTAGGAATGGCGGCTGCCCAGGGCTGGTGTAAATCTCACAGACGTGGCGTTGAGGGGAAGAGACCAGATGCCAGTATTGATGGCTTCGAAGCAGCCAGCACCAGGTCTGAGAGCGGTCAGGGTGGTGGTCTCCTGGTGAGGGTGATGACTGGGTGGGGGCACGGGATGGCCAAGTTCTGAGATGTGGGTTAGGGAGCAGCTCCTGAGCTGGTGATGCAGTCGTGTGATGGTGGCACAGGTGTGTCCACTTCGCAAAATCCGTCACACTTATTCTTCAATCAGGTGTTTTCCAAGAGGGTACAGGCTGTGCTGGTCTTGATATGTAAAATAACCGCACACCCTGTGGGACGGTTGGCCGCACAAACTTCGGAACCAGCTGGCTCTGTGTTTAATTCCAGCCTTGTCCCTTACTGACCACCCATCCTCTTAGCTCCTGCCCTGTGAGATGGAAGTGCTAATGCGTGCTCAGCAATGTGGCGGGGGCGGAGGGGATTCAGTGCAGAGGTATCTGTGACCCGCCCAGCTGAGGGCCTGGTCCATAGTCAGTGCTCCCTAAATGCTGGGTGATTACTGATATCATCAGGATTTTCACATCTGATTTTCACCTATAATCTCCCTGCACAGACGGTTTTGCAAGCACATCTCCGATAAACAGTAAGACCTTACATTCCTTCTGGAGCCTGTGCTGGTCCTAAGCATGTGCACCAATGCGTGCATCTGACACTTCCAGCAACCCTCGGAGCCAGGGATCCACCATGGTCATCTCCGTTCCAAGGGGAGGAAGTGGAGACACACACAGGCTGGAAAGCCACTGCCCTTGGCTGTGCACGGGGCCACAGCACTCAGCCCTGCAGCCTGGCTCTAGGCACACCAGCACTACAGTGGGAATGAGATTATGGTTTCACTGTCACCCTCGGCTCCCTCCCTCCCACACAGATAAGCATCAGGCCTGGGAATGTCTCTGGAGGATGGGGTTCCTTCAGCCACTGCAAGGGAATAGGCTGACTGCTGACCCTCCAGTCCTCTCCTCCCCACTGGCCACATCAGTCCTTGGGGTTAATGAGCCAGGGCGGTTCAGACACTGCCCTGGAGTGACTGAGACCTGTCACTAAATTGCATGTAACGCATTGGCCTGGTCTCCTGGGTGAGCCAGGCCACTCCGTGCTGCTGCTCACTGTGTTCAGGAAATGAACCATGGCAGATCTTCTCTCCCCAGATGCTCATGCCCTTTGGGGGCCTCCCTGCTCCCCTCCCAAAAGGCAGCTCCAATACACACAGGCAGGAGACCCCTTTCCATGCTAGGGGAGTTAAACCAATTCCCTAGCACACAGCAGTCCCTCCCACTGCCCTCTGCGGTGGGGGCGGAGGAGCGGTCAGCACACCCTGGGGGCCTTTTTTCACAGAGTCATTAATTGATGACAAACAGTAATGAATGGGCCACATTCCTACTTCGGTGAAGTGCATAATTCTGGGCTCGTAGAGCTGGGATGGGCCCAGCTCTTGTTTTCTTTTAATCTGGTTTGAAAGACGAACACTCTCCCAGGCGGCAGGGAAGGAGCCCGCTACCCCGTGAGTTCATCAGTGTGGCATGTGCAGCCTTGCTGCGCTCAGAGATAGGAAATGCCGACCGTCACAGCCCCTTAGTGGCCTTGGGGGCATGGGCAAGGAGCCTAATTAGCCGTGGTCACAGTTTATTAAAAATCATAAATATTCCTCTTGGAGGCAGGGTGGGAGTCAGAGAAGGAAAGAGGCAGTGTCCGGCTGGTGTGTGCATGTGTGTGTGCATGTGTGTATGTGTGTGCATGTGTGTATGTGTGTGCATGTGTGTATGTGTGTGCATGTGTGTATGTGTGTATGTGTGTGCATGCATCTGTGTGTGGGAGTCAGAGGAGGAAAGAGGCAGTGTCTGGCTGGTGTGTGCATGTGTGTATGTGTGTGCATGCATCTGTGTGTGGGAGTCAGAGGAAGAAAGAGGCAGTGTCCGGCTGGTGTGTGCATGTGTGTATGTGTGTGCATGTGTGTATGTGTGTGCATGTGTGTATGTGTGTGCATGCATCTGTGTGTGCACACATGTACCCGTGATGGTTCATGTGCAATTGATTTTCAACAAGTATGCTGAAGCAGGCAAACCTTATTTGAGGGCAGAGGCATGGATGTGGCTCAGTCATTTAAGAATGTGTCCCACTGCCCGAGGACAGTGACAGGGGCCTTTTGCCTTGCTTTCCTGGAGGCAGGAGTGTCAGAAAAACAACTGTATGTCATCATTAGTCACTTGTCCCAATTCCCTTTGTTCCCAGTGGAATCCCACAAATATTGGGACAAGTGAACAATGCTGACCCTGTGGTCAGGGCTGGAAATAATGAGATGAATCAGGCCCAGCCCTTTGCTTCAAGTAGTTCATAGTCTCTGGGGGAAGCCCAGAGGGGAACAGATATTCTGGGCCATAACAATTACACAGTAATAGTAATAATGATACAGTAGATATATTTAGGCCCAGGGAAGGGCATTGCATCTCTTTTGAATCTTGTAACAGTACTGGCTCTGGCTCTTAGCACTGGTGAAGGGGCCTCCCACTGTCCTGTCCCCACCCTGACCCATTCCTGTCCATGCCACTGAGACATAGAGTGGCTCCTGTGTCCTCCTGGTGACAGGCACTTGGAGGAGGTTTGACTGAGGGTGGTGCATGTCACATCTCAGCCAAGGCTTGTGTCATGGAGGTGTCCTCTCCCCCTCCTTCCTCTCTCACTGGCAGATGCACAGAACAAACCCCCAGGGTCTGGTGTATTAATTTTATTGGGCCCTGGACCCTCCCACATCTGATGAAGTCTCTGAAACTATCAGAACAATGGTTTTAGATCTGTGAACTATGTAGGAGCAGAAGGAAACTCTATGACATACAAACATGCGACAACATATAAACGTGGGTGCACGTCACCAATGCATTCAATAACAGGCATGTAGTAGCCACTGCAATTGCAAATGGAAGTAGAGAGTTTCACAGTATCCACAGCTGACTTGTGATGTGAAAACATCTGATTTCCACGGCCAGTAGGGTCGTGGGTGCTGCCTTTACGGCTGGTGTCTGTTTCTGGCATTCTTAATAGAACCAAAGCTACATGTCAGTTAGAGGGGAGTGAAAATAAAGGTGTCTGTCTTTTCCATCCCTGTTTATGGACCTCCTGCGCTCCCTGTGGCCCACAGAGTCTGGGTTATGAAATCCAGCTGGGGATGAGGAGAGCCACCAAGCAGGGGGCACCTGGGTCCCTGAATCACACCGTGGGGGAGAGATTTGCCTTCCAACCTAGGAAAATGCCACTGGGTTCTCTATCCTTGCTTATGTGAATCCCAAGCAGCAAGTGGAATCATGGAAAAGGAATTCATAAAGACTTCACTAAACACAGCCAGTTCTCAGTTTTCAACTCAGCCCTGCAGCTAGTGCTTCTCCGCACCCCAAATGGATTTGTGTGCCACGTCTTCTATCAATCATATTTCCCAAGGCAGGCATTTATTTGAAGAAGCTCCAAACTATCCAGACTAACAAGCATGTTTCTTCACGAGCAATCCAGAAATCTAACTCAATGGCGTAGGGGAAATTGCTTTGGCTGCAATAGGAAAGGGAGGAAGGGAGAGAGTTCATTTTTATGGATCACTGATGCGTGTTAGACGCTGTGCATTGCGGCTGTTCATACACTATCTCATTCACTGAGAAGCCGAAGATGCTAAGCTGTGGCACTGTGTGACCTGGGGAAGACACACCAATAGTTAGGGTGCAAGTAGAATATATCTAAATTGGCTTAAACAGTAAAGGGGGTTTACCTGCCCATGTACCTGAAAGTCCAGAGATAGGGAGGGCTTCAGGCTGTTTGTACCTGAGGTTGATATTGTCAGCAGGGCTGTGTCTCTCCCTCTCTGTGGCAGCTTCGCCTTCAGAATGATTTCCCATGTGGTTGTCAGGTCGCTCCCGACGGTAGTACCTGGGGTTCCATGTTTCCTGTTTGCTGACAGAAGAAGAGGGAGCTCTTCCCATCACATCGGATTTCCCTAATTTATGTAGCAACCTCATTCCTAAATCCATGACAGTATCAAGGAAGACAGAGCATGTGGTTGTCCCAAACTGCCCCTGAGCCCACACAAACCACAGGACTGAAAGGTTCAGATTCCTTTTAGGAATCTAGGGAGATAATAGACATTGAGAAGGCAACTAACAATAGCCACGGAAAGCAAAAGAAAAAAAAAAAAAAAGGCATTAATAGTATCAAACTCTCCACGAGCAAATTGCCTTGGTCCAGCCCCAGCTGCATGATCATCACGTGCTGTCCATTTATAGGCAACGTGTCTCACTTAATTCTCAACCACCCCCCAAGATGTGCAAACTTGTGTTCTCCCCATTTTGTACATGAGCAAACCGGGAGCCGAGAGGTTAGATACTTTGTCTAAGTTTCAGGGAGAACTGAGTCCTACTGAGGTCTTCTTACTCCTGACAACCATGTAGAACCGCTTCTGTGGGTGCCCTGCCCCCCCAGCCTCAGTTTCCCCATCTGTAAAATGAGTTGGATTGACTCTATCACCTCTACGGGCCTCTACTTTTCCAAGTGACTAGGCCACCTGGATTACATTCTTCCTGGGAGACAGGAGCCCTCATTTCTGCCCCGGTTGGTCACTCACCTCCATGTGACCTTTGCCATCCAGGCTCCCTGGGTCTCTGGCTCCCTGATGATGCCACGCAGAAGTCCTGAGGTTGAGAAGATGTCCCTGCTTGTGTCTGTGGCTCCTGGGCACATGTACAGCATATTTCAGGTACACCTTCTGAAATGGATGAGGAGGATGAAGGAACATTTGTACACGCTCCTGAGCATGGGGGTGGAAAAAGACCCGTAGGAGAGAAGGCTTGCTGTCTGAAGGCCTAGACATGGGCAGGGAAGACCTCCTCTTCAGCCTATTCACACATGGGCACAGGCTGTATTTTAACAGCTCTTTTTTCAAGTGGGCATTTGAGGTCAAGAAAGATGGTCACCCCGCTAGTCAGTGGGTCAGTGGGAGATGTGGGAAGAAGCAACCTCAGGCTCTTCGTTCCCCCAGAGTGCCAGGAGCCTCTGCTATGGCCAAGACATTGTGTTTCCAATATCTGGGGAAATTCAAGGATACCAGCTGGTGAAACAGAAAAACGCCCTCCCAGTCAGTGGGCCTTGCTTTCATCCTCATTGTAACCGCGAGCACCAGGACAGACATTGGGCTGAGTGAAATTCTCATGCTTCAGTCTCTGGAATAACCAAAACACTTACTGTGCCAACTGGATTGTCACCAAAATATTTCTTTTTAGTGGACTTTGTTGTCAAATGTTTGCTCACGGACAACCTGGCAGTTGGCCCAGACATGCATGCAAAGCAGTCAGTCATTAGAGCCAGAGTGGGCGAGGTGCTGATAGATGCAGAACAGCAGCTCTGCAGGGGAGGCTGTGACCTGTGGGGCCTGCCGATGGCCGTGGTGTAAATGCTCTCACCATGGCCAGTTTTGAGTGTGGAGCCCGGGGAACAGTCAGTCCTGAGGAGTAGGTATAAGGAGACTCTTGAGGGGTGCATGCTTTTTCATGCAAATGCGGATGCCTTGGAGAGTAATGGGGGACACTGTTGAGGTCCCTACTGAGCAGCAGGCATAAATCAGGAGCTCCCCAGGCAAACTGGTCATGCTCATTACAGACCAGGCGTCTGGTCACACCCATTACAGATCAGAGGGACCTTAGGGATCATCTGTCCAACTCACTCATCTTGCAGATGAGGAAACTGAGATGCCAAAACGGGGGATGACTTCCCCAGGAAGCTGGACCACATCACATAACATTACTCTTGTAATGCCTTTATCAAGAGCACCTCATATGACAAAAATGGGAGAAAAATCATACAGCCAGCTGCATCAGGGAGAAAAGGAGGGGCACCCCTGGATACCACCAGAGACCAAGGCAGTCCCTCTGTGGCTCAGAGTCTGGTAATGGCTTCATTTTCTTGGGGGGAAAAATGTGAACTGGCTACACCTCTTGATCCGTGAAATTGCAATTACCCTGAAGAGGCATTCATCACCTGCCCTTTTGAAGGTGGGAGGGATGGCATCTGAGGCTGCATATTTTGATGCACATGCTACTTCCCACAGTGATGCAGTGGGAGGGACGGTGGCTGGGGTGAGGAATCCCGAAAGCGGCTTCCCCTCTGCCTGGGCTACATAGAGGCTCTTTGGCTCATTGCTTCTCCTCCCCTCTGCACTTCACATTCTTTACTTACAATATGGCTGTGGTTCAAAAGATGGTGTTTTGTCCACTTAAGGCATGCGCTCACCAATTTAAGGGAAAACTTCTCCACTCCCTACCACTCTCTGTTGTCCAGTGATGCATTTTATTTATATTTATTTATTTATTTATTGAGATGGAGTCTCCCTCTGTCACCCAGGCTGGAGTGCAGTGGCATGATCTCGGCTCACTGCAACCTCCACCTCCCAGGTTCAAGCAGTTCTCCTGCCTCAGCCTCCCAAGTAGCAGGATTACAGGTGCCTGCCATCACGTCTGGCTAATTTTTGTAGTTTTAGCAGAGATGAAGTTTCACCATGTTGGCCATGGTTGGCCAGGCTGGTCTCAAACTCCCGACTTCACATGATCCACCCACCTTGCCCCACAGTGCTGGGATTATAGGCATAAGCCCCCATGTCTGGCCCTGCGTTTCATTCTTTTAAACTCTGTGACTGGCACGTGCCCTGAAGCTGTGTTGCCAGATTTAGTAAATTTAGTATAAGTATGTGTTGTGTGGTGTTTGGAACATACTTATATTTTAAAAATATGAATTTTTAATCCGAAATTAAAATATAACTGGGCATCCTGTTTTATCTGGCAATTTTACAGAAACATTTGAGTTTGAGATTCCTAGACTAGAGGGTTTGTGAAATATATTCCATCTCTAAAAGTTCATAGCCATCCATTCATTTAGTAATCTTGCTGGCTGCCTGTGCCATATGTATCTCTGCTTCCTGGGAAATACAGCTGTAGCCCCAATAAGCCCAGAGTCTATGAGGTTCTATTTCCAAAAACGGTTGCAATTCAAAGATACACAGTGCAAAGAACAAATAATCCAATTAAAAATGGGCAAAATATATAAACAGGCACTTCTCAAAAGAAAACTTTCAAGCAGCCAACGAACATATGAAAAAATGCTTCGCATCACTAATTATTAGAGAGACGCAAATCAAAACCACAACGAGATACCATCTCCTACCAGTCAGAATGGCTGTTATTAAAAAGCCAAGGAATAACCGATGCTGGTGAGGGTGAGGAGAAAAGGGAAACTTATCCATTGTTGTGGGAATGCAAATTAGTCCAGCCACTCTGGAAAACAGTTTGGAGATTTCTCAAACAACTTAAAACTGAACCACCATTTGACCCAGCAATCCTATTATTGGGGATATACCCAAAGGTAAAAAAAAATCGTTCTACCAAAAAGACACATGCATTCACATGTTCATGGCAGTTTTATTCACAATAACCAAGACATGGAATCAACACAGGTGCCCATCGGTGGTGGATTGGATAAAGAAAATGAGGTGCATGTACACCGTGGAATACTATGCAGCTGTAAAAAATGAACGCAATCTTGTCCTTTGCAGCAACATGGATGCAGCTGGAGGCCATTAACCTAAGTGAATTAATAAGGGAACAGAAAATCAAATACTGCATATTCTGTTATAGCTGGGAGCTAAATATTGAATATGCATGGACATAAAGATGGCAGCAATAGACCTGGGACTGCTAGAGAGAGGAGGGAGGGGGTCATGAGCTGAAAAACTAGGCACTGGGTGCTCTTCACTTATCGGGGTTGCCCGACCTTTTGTGCTCTAAACCTCCGCATCACACAATATACTCATGCAATAAGCCTGCACATGTACTCCCTGAATTAAAAAAAAAAAATCAAAAGCAATTTTAGAGTTTCTCATATCCTTTCCTTACATTTCTCCAAAACCGCAAAGGGATCTGAGCACACCATCCCCAACAGGAGAGCCTTCCGCACCCACTTTTTCCGTCACACCTGCATACTGTACGAGGGCTACAGTCACTTCCAAAACTCCACTCTGAGTCAGTCAGTCTTCAGCCACCTCATTCCTTTGTCATGTCATACATCTGCCTCCTCGTTAGCTGAAAAGACATTCCTTGAAGAGGAGGGAGGCAGAGGTGAGGTTGACCATTCTGGAATATTCTGTAGTGGCCCTAGGGGCTAGAGGAAACATATAAACACATAAACATATCTGTGTTTATAGTTTGTGTTGTTATCTGAGCATCGCAAAAGCCATATTTCTGCCTCCAAAGAACTTAGTATGCACACAGGGCACAAGACACATCTAGTGAAACCAGTAGAACACACACAGGCGGAACCATGACACGCTGGGAATGTAAACAGCAAATGAATCGAGACGAAGGAGGAGTCAAGGTGCCCTGGAAAGGCAGAAATGTTTTCTTCACAGGTCTCATAGCAGATGCAGACGCTGTCAGGTACTGCCCTCACCCTGACCACATCCAAACCCAGCACCTGAATCCCACTGGCTGAGGGCTATCTAAAGCCCCTGGAGTGCCAGGGCATCCCTATACTCAGAGCAGTCTTGAACCAATGTCAGGTGAGAGCTGGTGTATAAATACTCCAGCTCCCTCTCCTTGGGTGGCATAATTCCGAGGTCTGTACTGTGTGATTTCCTAATGCTTGACGCTGACCTAAGGACATCCCCCTCACACTGGCTCCTCCCCTTTCCCGGGTCGTGTCCTCACTTGTCCACTCCTCTACTGCTGTTTCCTGGGATCACCTCCCAAATAAATATTTGTGCTGGAATCCTTGTCTCAAGGTTGCTTCTGAGGGCCCCGAACAAGACAAGCACCAGCACTCCAAAGTATTGCAAAGCTCAACTCTGAAGCCAGAAGAGGATGCCAGTGATGGACACCTAGGTCTAGGAAAGACCCCAGAAATTTGCTTGAAGAGCACATTTCGGGTAGGCAGAGTCCTTGGTTAATTCCTGCCCCTTTCAAAAACTCAATGACCCAGTACTTTGGGAAGCTCAGGCAGGAGGATTGTTTGAAGTCAGGAGTTCAAGACCAGCCTGGGCAACATAGTGAGATCCCATCTCTACAAAAAAGTAGCTGGGCATGAGGGTGCCCTCCTGTAGTCCCAGCTACTCAGGAGGATTGCTTGAGCCCTGGAGTTTCAGGCTGCTGTGAGCTATAATTGCACCACTGTACTTTAGCCTGGGTGCTGGGTGACAGAGTGAGATCTTGTCTCTAAAAAGAAAAAAAGAGAAAGAGAAAGGAAGAGAGAAATAAATTTTTAAAATGTCAAAAAAGAAAGAAATTTTAAAAATGACAGGAAGGAAAGAAGGACTGAAAGATAAAAGAGAGAGAAAGAAATTTTTAAAATGTCAACCACCTGATTGAATTAGATGCCTTCAGTTTTACAGATGGAGCAAATGGGCTCGAAGGACTAGTGACACTTTCTCACAAACAGGGATACCCATTTCTCTTCCTGGTTTTGCCAGCTCCCTTTCAGGCTCTATTTCCCAAAGGAGAAGCTGGAGTCACCCACACAGCCTTCTGACATTGCTGATGGATGGGCACTGTCTGAGGCATTATGGTAGCAGTAAGGATGCTAACATGCCCTAAAGAGCACTCCCCGTGCCTGGCACTATACCAAGCACTTTACATCTTCAAAGTACCCATCTTCATGGCCACATGATACAGTAGCTTTAATATCCCTGCTTTATATATGATGAAACAAAACACAGAGAGGTTAGCTGACTTCCCCAAGGACACACAGCAAGGAAGCGGGAGCCAGAACTCAAACCCAGGCAGCCTAGTTCCAGATTCCACATTCAGGAGTGCATACAAGCCAGAACCGATCTAGAATAAAACACAGACAAACAGAGCGAGTACATTCTTCACTAGCCCTTTCTGGATGCACCCTCAGACACAGCCAGCCAAAGACCAGGTACCAGCCTGCATCTTCATTGGACGGGTGGGTTAACCTCAGAAGTTATCAGAGGTTAGTCAGTGGTTCAAGATCTCTTGGTTCAAACCTCTTTGCTCTAGAAACACATCTGGAGAGATTTCTTGCCCATTCTCCACCATATCCTAGTTTATCCCAGAGAGAAAACTCACGGATATGGAAGGTAATAAGCGTTGCCCCTTATGCCTGCTAAAATTTAGCAGCCCAGAACCGGGGGTGGGAATAAACATCGCAAACCTCACCTGGCATCTTTTAGCGGTGCATTCAGGCTGCTCCTCGTTTCACCCACATCTTTCCACCCGCAGCTGGTGAAGAACACGAAGAACACGACGTGGTACATTTTTACACCGTCTGACCCTGTAATCAACCGATAACATGTTCACTTGGAGCCCGCCTAACACACTGGCCAGCCTTTCATCACCATTTCCCAATCACCAAGTAGACTGACCAGCTGGCCCCTGCCTTCCAGGAAGGCTTCTGGGGCAATCTCAGTGCAATGTGTGAACTCGAGAATGTTTGTAAGCTTTTTGCTCACACAACTTGGCTTTCTTTGGAACTTGCAGCTTGCTTCTGCTCGGCTGACCTCAAAATTGCCCGTGTCATGGTGATGTGCTTGCAGGCTGTGACTACGGCTCCATGCTGGAACTTTTAGCTGCAACCCCCACACACTGCTGACTGAGAACACTGAACGCGGTGCTGGGATGAACAGAGGAAAACTTTGGATGCTGAGAAAATGGAGCAGCTCAGTGACTTCCCCATTCGACTGGAGGGGGTCCGTGGGGATCAGAAGAAACAAGGCTTGAGTGGTTTCCATTTTCCTGAGCTAATGCCCGAAGCTTATTCCATCGGCCCCTTGTGATTTGAGATGGTTCATGCTAGCGCCTTTTGGAGTTCCAGCTTTCATGGGAATTGGATCGGAAATAACCCTGAAATGTCCTTCTTGCTCGAGCCACGGACACCTCTTCTGGAGACAGGTGTGTAGGGAGCCTAGATGTGAAAGCAAAGTATTCCACTCCCTCCTCTCAGCCCAGAAGGAGTTCTGTCCCCTGGAAGTCCCCCATGATGAAGAGGAGATGGCAGGAAACAAGGTTGGGGGAGCCTGAGAAAAGCCCCAAAGTGGGGGCCACCATGGGATGCTCTGGACACTCTGTGACCTGGACCAATTATCTTCCCTCTCTGGCTTAGGTTTGCTTGTCAGTGGTAATAACAGCAATGAATATGAACAGTTCTCCCTCCCTGTTTGCACAAGAGCACTCGTTTGCCCATGTCATTATACAGAAATATGCCCATTATAACCTTGTGAGGTAGACATGAGCATGACCCCATTTTTACAGATGAGTAAACTGAGGCGTGGGATATGAAGTAACTTGCCCATGTGGGTGACAAAGCTGGGATTGGAACCAGGTAATTCAACCCCAGGCCCATGTTCTTCACCACAAAGCTATCCCGCCTCCCTTGTGAAATCCAGATTTGAGCTGGAGCTGGGCTTCTCAACCTGGAGTGACTTAGGCAGTGGGTTTCAGGCTGTGAGCCTCTGAAATGGACTGAAATGTTAATAGACACGTGCATTTCTGCATGTTCATAGATTGTGCTAGATTCTCAGAAGGGTTCCTAACCCCCCCCAGTAAGATCATGAATCCAGAACCACCAAGTTGAGGACCTGAGAATCTCTCACCTCCCAGCATAGAAAACTTCTCCCAGTTCCCCTGTGTCTTCATGACCTACTTCTTGTTCTGTCCCCCAGAAAAGAGCAGAAGAAGGGGAAACAAGGCTTTCTGCAGCCCTGTGAGTACCTTCTCCTGGATGCGTTTCCTCATTCTGATTTTCCATGTTAGTGCAGCAGATGCTGTGTTGGCTCAAAGCAGGGACACTCAGGTTTCCATGTGGCTAAGGAGAATCTGCAGAATTTGCCTTAAAAAAAATGCAAGTCTCCCTTCATTTGTGACTGTGATGCAACCAGTCTCAGAGCCACCCCGAGAAACACCGCCTAATGGAATCTCCATCCCTCAGGACAGAAGCCGACCGGTCTTGCCTGCCCACACCAAATCGCCCCACAGAGCACCCTCTCCTTGTCAGAGCCGGCGACTCTCCAGGCTTCTGGTGCAGACAATGTGGTGACCACATGCACGGCACCCAGCGAGCGGGGATGCCAGGCAAATGTTATTACAGCGGTAACAGTGATTCTGCTTAGGATAACAATGATGGAAATCTGTATGAAATGACTTGAAACCGCTGATGCCTTTCCTTTTCCCCACTCAAAGAGAAGAAAGGGATGCGAACGTGTTACTTGAACTGGCAGCTGTGCTTCATCTGGACTCCATCGTGCCTGCTCTCATCTTTATTAGTAGCACTGTTTTAAAAAAAATGAGTAAGTTTGAAACCACCAGGTGTTTTGAATTTTTATCTTGTTCACTTGCTTACATGAGGAAATTCAAATAGAGACCAGTGCATTAATAACAGCCTGGTGGAAGGGAAGTACTGCTTCTCTCCCAGCTGGGGGGCTCTTTGTCCTCCCTGGCAGGCTCCCTCCCATTCTGGGTTCTGGCTGCAGTTCCACCCCCGGCCACCAGGAGTTGATCTCTGTAGCGTTATCTGTGCAATTCCTTCGCAGTCCTCCTCGGAGTCCTCGGTGACTTCAAGCAGCCACAGGCTTTCTTCCCCCTCCCTGCTAATCCGAAAGGAGGGCAGGTTCAATGTGGCTGCCCCCGGCCGGACTCACAGGCCCTTCCTGGTTACTTCTGCTGAATCCACTCTCCCTGTCAGGCTGGGACAGAAAGAAGAGAAAAAGAGCTTCAGCCTCAAGGGGACGGCCAGATTCCCCCAGCAACCCTCCATGTTCCACGGTCTCCTGGCACCTTGCAATCTCAACGCCAGCCACTGAACACCTGGGTGTTGCTACGTGGAGGAGGCCAAGTGAGGCTTGAAGCCTGAATTAGCTCCGTGAAAGGGGTCTTGCTTCCCACTTATATAATGTGAGGTCCAGGGAGCGTGGGCAGCTTAGCCAGGGGGACCACAAGAGCCCACATGCAATGTGGTGAGCCTCTCTTCCTCTGCCCTTTGGCCACCTCTAGCTGTTAGAACAGGATGCCATTGACATTTGTTGCCAATATACAATATCAAAAGTGCAGTGACAAAATAGAATGTTATTTCTATGTAGCCAGGAAGAAAAATTGAGAACATATCCATTTTACTAGGAAAATTCTGTCCCCTTCCCCACAACCGTATAGACTGCAGGGTGGCCCTTCCGTAGTCTTTCTTATCTCTGCAGAAATCTGGGCAAGGGCAGAGGATGAAGTGAAGCTTTTTAAGTCCCGCTTTGGTAGCTTCGAGGAAACGGGTTTGTGCAGGAGGTGGAAATTAACTAAAATGAGGTGGAGGATTACGAGGGGATTTTACCTCCTCAGGCAATCCTGAGAAGAGAGGGGTGACTTCAGCGAAGGGGCACATGCTGAGCCTCCTCTCTGGGGAGAATCAGACTTAAGAAGCCACTTGCTGATAAGGGTTAATCCATGGCTAAATGGGACAGTACCAGAAGTAATTAACATTCCTTGACTCAGTTTCCCTTTGGCTGCACAGCACTTACTTGGCGAACAAAAATCTCCATTTGCTGTAATGAGCCCTTCAGCCTAAGTCTTTGAGTTCTGCGCTGTTTTTCTGGAGCTCCTCTGACCCAGGGGGCTGGGTTTCATCCACTGCGACAGCTGGGTGTGTAGCAGAGCCCCAGGGAGGTGGCCCATCTCCCATCCTTTTACACTAAAACAGATAATCCTGAGCCACAGAAAAGTACTGCAGGCAGCAGAATGCCCTGTTAAGGGATTTTCTCAGTGTCCAAAACAAAGAAGGAATGAGGGGGCCGTTTACGTGGATCAGGACCCTGTGGACGTGGAAACACGGGGTTTTCAGTCTCCGTTTTTCTGTTTTTACTTTGTAATTGACATCATCCCTTGATATTCCCCAAACAGACTCCGACTCTGACTTATCTTATTGGAAAACTCTAAAATGGAAAAGCAAAAGAAAATTCCAGAATGCAAAATTTCTGGACCACTCAAAATAACGACTCATGAAAAATAAGAAATAAATTGAAGACTAAGGTGGGCTAATGTGCAAGACTTAAACGGAGGCCTGACTTGGCGCGCGAGTTTCACACCTTGGCGAAGCACTTAGTGTGTCTGGGAAAAGACAGCTGGGGGCGGGAAGGGCCCTATGCTGGAAAATGAAACCTTAGCTGATGTGAAAATAAAGAAGATGTTGTGCCTTTCAGGTTATTTTTAAGCTTCTCTTTTAAATGAACGAATTTTTTTTTACAGTGCCTGATTCCAGATTATCTTCTATAATTGCATTATCCTGAGATTTACCGGGATAAAGTGACCCAGCTTAGTTGTAATAATCAATAGCAGTTGTAACAACAACCACATGTGAAGGCTGCCTTCCTTCGTGCCTACTTCCTGGCTCCCTTCAATATCGGGACAGGGGCAGGATGTCTCCCGAGGCCTGGCACTCCTCTGTGAAATTACAAATTGCCAGTATTTTTCCCAGCCTGGTTTTGTGTGATTCAACACATAGACCTGTCACCAAATCCCCTAATAGCTGTCACTGGGGCAAAACTTCTTGATACCCAGCTTGAGTCTTTCTTTGCTCCCTTCATTCATTCATTCCATTAATCCAAATTATACTGCCTGGTACCTCAGAATAAGTTCCTACCTCTTGGAAGGAAAAGATTTTTCTCTGTTGGTCCATACAGATCACTTGTGACATCTTAATTCCAGAAGAGAAATATCAGTACACGGTATTTCAGTTTACTGGAGGCCACTGTGAGTCAGAGTTAAGGAGAGACGTGGAAGAGATCTGTGAATATTGAAACAGAAAAGTGAGGACCGTATTCCTAATAGCTGCCACCATGCCCAAGTGAGGTGCAGGGAGCACATACGCCCTTGAGGCCTTCCTTTACCCTCGCAGTGACCTTATGAGATAGGAATTCGTGTTATCCTTACATTAGCTTGACAATACCATAGGTTGGTGCAAAAGTAATTGTGGTTTTGCCATCACTTTTTTTTTTTTTTTTTTTGGAGACGGAGTTTTTCTCTCTTGTTGCCCAGGCTGGAGAGTGCAGCGATCCAATCTCGGCTTACTGCAAACTCCGTCTCCCGGCTTCAAACCATTCTCCTGCCTCAGCCTCCCAAGTAGCTGGGATGACCACACCTGGTTAATTTTTGTATTTTGAGTAGAGATGGGGTTTCACTTTGTTGGCCAGGCTGGACTTGAACTCCAGGCCTCAGGTGATCTGCCCACCAAGGCCTGTCAAAGTGCTGGGATTACAGGCATGAGCCACTGTGCCCGGCCGACATCGCTTTCAATTTACAGGCATGAGCCACTGTGCCCGGCCGACATCACTTTTAATGGTGGAAAGCGCAATTACTTTTGCCTCAACCTAGCATTACAGATGCGGGAACTGGGCCCAGAGAGGGTAAGTAACTTGCTCAGGGTCACACAGCTTGAG